AAAAAAAATCCACATCTGGTTTGTGTTCACCTACTGCCTCCAAGTGTGTATAACACAATCACCTCAAGGTAGAGCAAGGAAATTGTTAAGCTAGTGTGTCAGCTGAGGGGCCTGGGCTGTTTCACTGTGTGCAGGTTTGAGGAATTAGTCTCAAGGATAGGGCTACTTTCAGTGTTAGGCCAAGAACCTCAGCGTCTTTACCAGTATCTGGGGAAGTTCCAGGCCCCTTTGGGTTCAAGCCTGCTGCTTGCTAGCTCAAGAGCTGAGGAATCACCCTGCTACATTTCTCCATGTAGGAGGAAGGTTGTGGGAATGCGCATACCCAAAGTGGGGCTCCTGGGTCATGGTGGGTCTATTTCTTAGGAGCCACTCTACTGCTTTCCATAGCAGCTGTACTACTTCTCTATGTCCTATTTTTTTGACAGTGGCCACCTGTAGTTTTGAATTTACATTTTCCTGTCTAGGAATGTTGAGCATTTTTTTTACATACCTGCTGGTCATTCATTTGTATGCCTTTGGAGAAATTATCTTTTCAGTCAGGTGGTTTTCTGCTGTTGAGTTGTAGGAGTTTCATAAACATTGGATATTACTGCTAATTCAAATAATGATTTGCAAGTATTTTCTTCCATATGTTTTGCTTTTTTCCCCCTTTTGCTGTGCAGCGTTACAGTTTGATGTAGAGCCATTTGTCTCTGCTTTTGTTGCCTGTGGTTAGTGTGACATCCAAATTATTGTCAAGACCGGTGTTATGAAGCTTTCCTGTTTTCTTTTGGAAATTTTCAGATTTTGCTTTTTTGTTTGTTTCTGGTACTAGAGATTGAATCCAGGACCTTTATACTGAGCTCTGTGTCTCTGGTCCTTTCGTCTGAGACAGGGTCTTGCTAAGGTGTGAAACTGCCTAGGCTGGATAAAGCATAAATTTGAGTAACTGGACATGCCTTGAGACCAGAAGGTTAATTGAAATAAATCAGACACACAAGCTTAAGTATTACATGGTTCCCCTTGTTTGAAAAATTGAAAGTACAAATAAAGAGAAAATTAAAAGATAATGTGAACTAGGAAGATCCAGAGCTGGAAGGAGAAGGGAAGTAGGGGCAAGGGGAAGAATTAGTGTTTTATGTGTGCTTACCTAACCAATGTGAAGCACAAATGTGCTGATTCACAAAAAAAAAAAATAAATAAACTACCCAGGTTGGGCCTCCTGCCTCGCCTCCCAGAGTGCTGGGTGTTCAGGCCTGCCGGCCCCATCGGGCCAAGCTCACGTCTTCAGTCCATGATCTCAGTGTTAAGACACTCATCCACTTTCGCATCTGTATATTGTTTCCTCACTTTTGCTTAAGACATTTTAGGTGTTCTTGTTTGCTATTTTCCTTTGCTTTTCTACTTTTGTATGGTAGAAAGGTCCTCACAAGACCAGAAAATAAATCTTTTATTTAGTACTTTATGACTCTATTCATTTATTTGATTTTTTAAGACAAAGTCTCACGATATATCCCAGCCTGGCCTGAAACTTTCGATACTCTTAGCCTCTCAAGTGCTGGGATTTTAGACACACACTACCATACCTACAGTATTTTATGATTTTACTGTTTTGCATGTAATACTTTTAAATTTGTCTCCCCCCGTACAAAAAGAGTATTCAGTTGTCCTATGCCATTTCTTGGAAAACCTAATTTTCCCCTTATTTCTACTAAGAGGTTTCTTATTGCTATGAGCAACAAAATACAGAACCCAAAGTGCATTGAACAGAACAGTTACCTTAGTGTTGCCTCCTGACACCACAACTTAGAGCAGAAGTTTATTTTACTAATGATTTCAGAGATTTCAGTCCAGGCCAGATGGCTCCACGGCAGAACCATCATGAAGGAAGGGTGTGGTAGAGGAAAGCTGCCCAAGTATGCCACCCAAGAAGTGAAATGAGACAAAAGAATTCAAGAGGAAGGAGGTAGGGGGTTTTAGTCCCCAAGGTCTGCAAATGATACCAAGGTGCTTCACTGATCTGGCCAGCTCAAGCCGATGAAATTGTCAATCAAGATTTCCTATAACAAAAGGAATACAGTATCTCACATTTCAAAAAGTCCATAGGTAGAGGAGTTCCAAGATTTGTGATTAAGAAGCACAACTGAGGTACTTTCTATCTGCTAGTCTCAGTGTGATGGCTTTCATCCTCGGGGTCATCAGAAGTCTGCTGCAGATTAGCTCCAAACATCCATCATCATATACCTTCACTCAGAAAGGGAGAAGGGGGGCTGGGGATTTAGCTCAGCGGTTCAGTGGCCTGCCTTGCAAGCGCAAGGACCCGAGTTCAATCCCCGGTACAAAAAAAAAAGAAAGGGAGAAGGGTCAAAACCCTGTCTTGCATCTTTTTTCCTCCCTAAAGATCAGGATGACTGAACCTAGGGTATGGTACATGCCAAGGCAAGCACTGCACCACGGAGCTGCATTCCCAGCTTAGTCCTGCTGCAATACTGGGAACAGAAGCCGGGCTCATCCATCCTAGTCAAGTGATTTAACACATAGCTATATTCCGAGCACTTTTAAAAGTTTATTCTGAGGTCAGGTCACTTTTCCCCGGGCTGGCCTCAAACTGTGGTCCTCCTGCCTCAGCCCTCCAGAAGAGGTAGATAGCTGGGATTATAGGCATACAACCTGTCTGGCTATTTCACTTATTTTTAAAAGCAAATAAAATTTTCCAAGGTGGACATGGCAGTGCATGCCTGCAATTCTAGCTATGTGGGAGGCTGAGGCAAGAGGACTGGAAGTTCAGGGCCACCCTGTCTCAAAATAAAATACAAGAAGGGATAGGAATATAATTCAGTGGTAGAGCACCTGGAAATCCCTACATTCAATCCCTACTACTGAGGGAAAAAAACCCAAAATACTTCTGACCCCCTCCCCTTCCTCTTTCCTTTGTTTTCCTCCTCCCCCTTTCTCCCCCTTGCTTTTTTCTGCAGTACTGGGAACTGAACCCAGGGCCTTCTCACTGAACTATGCCCCAGTCCTTTTTATTTTCCTTAATTTTGAGATAAAGTCTTCTTAAGTCACCAAATGTTCAAGCTGAACTCAAACCTGAGATCCTCCTGTCTCAGGCTCTTAGGCAGCCTAGATTATAGACGTGTACTACCATACCCAGACATAATGATCTTTTTTAACTGCAAAATTTTACATATTTTATATTTGGTAGGGTCGTTCCTGAACTTTTCAAAATCTGAAGAAAAAAAAACTTACTCTAAAGCATCTGAGAATTAAGAAGACTTTAATACTGAAATAAACATTTTTTTATAATGCTGCCCCTATGAAAGGAAAATGATAGTAAGTCCCCAACTTAAGAACATTCAAGTTATGAACTTTCACAACTACAAATGCAGCACACATTACAAACACTGATGAAGTAGCTCACGTGTGCAGGACACTGTCCCAGCTGTGCTGCATGTGCATGCTGTGCAGTGTGGTAGGCACCAGCTGGAGGAGGGATGGTGGGGGAGATGGCGGAGCTGAAGGATCATCAGCAACAGGAGGTGGAAGGCAGAGGAAAATCACACTCACACTGATGCTGATGACACAGGTTTCTTGATGGATTCAATTTTTTACCCGCTTAAAAAATGATCCAGTGATGTCTGAGTAGTAGCTCTTTTCTCATCGTAGATGACTCTGTCCTACCCTCTTTTCCAGTTAGTAACTCTTGTCAGCTCACTTCATGCAAGCCCCTATGTGCCAGTTGTGTTATACTGTATCACCATCTTAAGGTAACTGTAAAAGGAAAAATTGTTTACTGTATTTGTGTTATTTACATTGTACATATGTGTCAAAAGTCTGTAAGACTCATTTGTCAGACTTCCATTCTCCTGGAATGGAACTCATTTATAAGTTGGGGATTTACTATACCTCTAACAACATAATTTATTTTTTTTTCTTATGTCCTAAAGTAAATTTCTTGTTTATTGTGTTTTTGAGACAAGGTCTTGCTATGCAGTTCAAAATTACAGTGATGTGCTGGGATTACAAGTGTGTGGCACCACACTGAGCTCTAAAAAAAATTCTTAGTTTTTACTTCATGTTTTCAGTAAAATATTTTGCAAGTCAATCATGGTGGCACACACCTGTGATCCCAGTGCTTGGAAAGCTAAGGCAGGACGATTGTGGAGTTTGAAGCCAGCCTGAACTGCACAGTGAAACCCTGTCTCAAAAAAAAAAAAGTTTTACTTCATTTTATTACAATCGCCCTTATTTATCATTTTCACCCAGTTTTTTTGGTGTGTCAATCACTCCGTTCTGCAGTGGTCCCTGTCAAACAACTATATACACAAGGGTAATCATTAAATGTGAAACAGTACAGTTTCAATAGTCAAAGTACAGACACCCTAAAATGCAGAGTTCTCAAAATCTTAAGAGGTACCTGCTTCAGCCAAATAACTAAAGTAAGATAAAGTAATGGAAGAGGTACTGAAATAGGTACTAGATGAGTACTGACCCCAACCCACAGAAAACATGATGGAATGAATATTAGTCTAATTATCTACCCTCTACCTCTGTGGAAGAGTGAAACAGAGAAAAAAGATCTTAGAAATTTTACTAGGACTTCCATGCATGGGAAGAACTTGAAAGTCAAGAATAATAAGCCAGGTGTAGTGTGTGCACACCTGCAATCCCAGTACTCTGCGAGGCTGAAGTTGGAAGATCACAAGTTTGAGTCCAGCCTGGGAAACTCAGAAACTTACTAAGACTCTGATTCAAAAATAAAAAAGGGCTGGAGGGCCAGGGATTTAGCTCAATGATTCCGCTGCCTGCCTTGCAAGAGCAACGATCCGAGTTTGATCCCCAGTACCAAACAAAAAAATGTGGGGGGGTTGTAGCTTACCACAGAGGCCCCAGGTTCAATTCCTAGTACCAAAAAAAACAACAAAAAACAAAAAACAAAAAAAGAATATTGGCTCAGTGGTAGAGAGCACTTGCCTAACATGCACAAAGCACTGGGTTCAGTCTCCAGCACTGCAAAACAAACATAGATAGAAATAAATGTAAAAATTCCTCTCAACATACCTAATATACTTTGGCCCTAGAATCACTGAATTCACATTTAAATTAATCTGTATTTCACTTTTATTACATGTACGGCGCTCTCAAGGATGAAAATGTATTAAAATGAAATTAAGTTTCCAAACAATTTAAGGTCATTTTGTATTTATATAGGTATGCACACATGTACACGCAATGTATATATGAAATCCTTATACAGTCATAAAAAATAAATTACAAGCAACAAAATAAAAAGTTAAACTTAGTGTATGTGCTTTTGAAAAATAACTAAAATAGATTCACACTTTATCTAACATAAGTCATTTTTAACACAAATGATCCTGACTGGGGCATATTTTTTTTATGCCACTTCAACAGACCCTAAGTTCCATCTGTGGTTATCACTCTAAGTAAATAAAAATATTTAAAATATATTTTGGTGTCCAGTTATTTGAAATCAAGTTTCCATTTTAATAGTTTCATTAAAGTTTATGCCACTGTAAATGACCCTTTTATCTGCTTTAACTTGGTCTGCATTAAACTGATAAAATACACCCTACCCTTCTATACAAACATCCAGCAACGTAGTTACATCATTATTATTTGAAATGCTTACACAGGAATAATTTGTCTTTACACTGTAGAAGTCTTGCATTTCATTATGTTTATAGCTTCTGTATCATCACCTGAAATTTGCCTAAAAAATAAAACATAAAAATTCATTTTTTAAATTTTAAGTACAAAGAAAGCCTAGGTATCAATTTTTGGTTCCATTTAGGAAGTGATTTCAATGAAAAAACTTGTCAAGTCAAACACCTTTCCACATTCCTTACAATATGAAATAGTCAATTCCATTTTTATTAGATGATTTCCTGGGATATAAACAGGTGGCTTTGTTTCTTTTTGTGATTCCTACTTCCGAGTGTTTCACTCCTAATAATCACTGAAGCTCAAGCAGATATTACTTTTGATTGGTAGCTCTTGGTGAGGGGATTTTGGGAAGGAATTTAATAATAAAAAACTAGCTGGTTTTATTTAGCATCATATAATAGATATATTCTAAATAACTGTTCAACAATAAAAGACATTTCAATGCTGTAGAGAAAGCTGCTATCTTAAAAGCACATTGCAGTGGCGGGGGCTGAAGCTCTGTGATAAATCCTTTGCCTGGGATGTGTGGAGCTTGAGTTGGACCTCCAGCACTTCAAACTCCAAAAACAAAAAAATTGCAGAAAATTTCCCCTTAAAAGTTAAGACTCTTCCCTTCAATTCTTATAATTTAAGATTTCTTTAGTGGATTTTCCTTTTTCTTTTCTTTTCTTTTTTTTTGATACTGGGGATCAAACTCAGGCCCTTATACTTGCAAGGCAGGCGGCCTGGCATTACGACTGAGCTAAACCCCCAGCCCCTTTTAGTGTATTTTCTTAAATTACTCTGAATTCAAAATTTGCTAACTATGGTATTGCATACTACATATTATTCACTGCATGATGATTAACACAAAAATGAAAAGGTTTCAGTATTTTTAATGTACCCTATATTTTAAATAATTTTTTAAAAAATCACATGAAAAATGTTTGTCAGAAATGTGAACTCACAAGCAGGCATTGAAGACACTTCGGCAGTTACGATACTTTTTATCCCCAAGTTTGATAAACCACCTCTAATTAAGCCACATGTAAATGCTAGATACTAAAAGGGAAAAAAAAATATTTTAAAAAACAGTAAAACCACCAATAGATACAACATTTTAATTAAACATGGTATTAATAATCACTGCTGTTTTGGTTTTTTTTTGGTATAAGGGATCGAACTCGGGTCCTTGTGCTTGTGAGGCAGGCGGAAGAACCACTGAGCTAAATCCCTAGCCCTGCTGTTTTTTGTTTGTTGGTTGGTTGGTTGGTTTTGGTTTTGGTCTTGGTCTTTTGAGACAAGGTCGTGCTATGTAGATCAAGCTAGCCTTGAACTCACTACAAAGCCCAGAATTTGTGGTGTTCCTCCTGCCTCAGCCTTCAGAGTGCCGGGACAACAGGCATGGGCTACCATGCCCAGCTAGTCACTGCTGTTTCAAAACCAGAAAGTTACCAGAAGCTTGGAGTGATAATACATACATGCCTTTAGTCCTTCCCCTGTAAGGTAAGACAGATCACTTGAGCCAAAGAGTTTAACGACAGCCTGGGCAACATAGCTAGATCTCAAAAAAAAGGGGTTGGGGGCAAGGAGAGGGATGAGGAGGAGAAAGGGTGGGGAAGATGACGACTGTGAAGAACTATTCTTCCTGATGACCAAAGTATATGCACACAACTGAAGTCTGGCCAACTAGGTGTTCCAATCCAGTGAGTAGATTTAGCTCTGGAGATAGGAAAGGGAGCTTGTCTACTGTCAATGCTGCCTATGGGATTCTAACTAGACCCTCCCTGTAACAATCATTTGTTGTTGTTTTTTCTGGATGCTTTAAACTCCTGTGTTTTTTGCCTGTTTTCTGAGTCTTATCAATTCTGTAACCTACTAATATTCCATTCAACCATAGTTGGTTTTCCTATCACCAGGAATCTCTACTTGTTTAACACATATAGTCTGCCACAACATAGACTTAGCAGGTTTAAAATATGAACAGCAGTCAGTGTTGGTGTGCAGTGTTACAATCTCCAGACCATGGGAGGCCAAGGCAGGATCGTGAGTTCAAGGCCAGCTTGTACTGCATACACAGTGAGACTCTGCTCAAAAAAACAAAAAAGCCCACAAAGAAAGTAACCATTATGTACTGCAGACATGCACCAACTATTATTCTTAAAAGTAGTCAAATGATAGCCTAGATATCCCCAAAATATAGAAAATAATCAATCATGAACCAATAAATAAAATTATGATAACAAAGTATCATGTCCACTTCTTGCCCACTAGGTACAAAGCACCATTTTAACATTTTTGGTTTCCTTGGGATGATGTTGCTGTAATGCCCAGCCTGGCTTCAGATTCCTGGGCAAAAGCAAAACTCCTGCTTCATGAAACCTCCAGAGCAGCTCAGCAATGATGTGCTGGCCTCCTCTATTTGCATACTTTCTTATTTTCAGTACTGGGGATTGAACCAGGGAGCGCTGAGCTGTACTCCCAACTCTTCTTTTCCTTTGGTTTTTTCGGCTGTTGTTGTTATTGTTTACTAGGTGTGGGGGGACCCTAAAATTTTGAGACAGGGATATAGGGATATCTTTTTTTTCTGCACCAGGGATCTAACTTGGGACCTTATGCTTGCAAGGCAGGCAGCAGAACCACTGAGCTAAAATCCCCAGCCACCTGTCTTTGTTTTGAGACAGGATCTTACCAAGTTGCTCAGGTTGACCTCAAACTAGCAATCCTCCTACCTCTTGGCCTCTCAAGTAACTAGGTTTACAGACAAAAACCATCTTTCCCAGCACGGCCTTTTGGCTAGATTATTTAGATAGGGACTTTTTTTTTTTTTTTTAACAGACAAGTAGCAACTTATACTAGCCTAGATATTTTAATCACTTCAAAGAAATCCTTATATTAAAACTTAAGCTGGGCGTGGTGGCACATGCCTGTAATCCCAGCACTTGGGAGGCTGAGGCAGAAGGATTGCTGTGAGTTCGAGACCAGCCTGGGCTACATAGTGAGTTCCAGGTCAGTCTCAACTATGAAGTGAGATTCCGTCTCAAAAAAACACAAGACAAAACTTGTTAATTTTTCATTATTTGCAGATGACATTCTACTCTACATAGAAAAGCCAAAAAACTCCACCAAAAGACTAGATTTGAGAACCAAATTCAGTAGCATAGCTGGATACAAAGTCAATGCTCAAAAATCAATAGCCTTCCTGTACCCAAACTCACTGAGAAATCAGAGAAACAATACCTTTCACAATAGCATCCAAAAAAAAAGAAATATCTAGGAATCAATCTAACAAAAGAAGTAAAAGACCTCTACATTGAAAACTACAGTACTACTCTAAAAAAGAAGACCAAAGAGAACATCAGAAAATGGAAAGATATCCCTGTTCTTGGACAGGAAGAACTTAATGGACATACTTCCAAAATTGTTATACAGATTTCATGCAATGCTGATCAAAATACCAAATAGCAATGGCCGGGGATGTAGTTAAATGGTGCTGCACCTGCCTGGCAAGCACAAGGTCAAGTTTGATCCCTGGTACTAAAAACAAAAATACCAATATCATATCTCACAGAATTAGAAAAAACAATTTTAAAATTCCTTTGGAACCAGAAGAGACCCAGAAGAGCAAACGTAATTCTGGGCAACAAAGGTAAGACAGGAGGCATCAGAACCCCTGACCTGAAATTATACTACAAAGCTACTGATTAGAAGATGCAGAAACAACTCCAGACATGCTCAGCCACCTCATCTTTGACAAAGGAGCCAAACACCTTCCCCAGAAGACAGACTCTTTAATACTGCTGGAAAAAATGACTTTCCACATGCTGAAGATTGAACCTAGACCCACATCTTTCACCATGTACTAACCTAAAACTGAAATAGATTAAAAATTTAAACATTAAAATGGAAAAACTAACTATGCTAAAAGAGAATAGGTGAAACACATGAGGATGCAGGAGTAGGCAGACTTTATGACAAAACCCAGACTGCACCGGGAATACTACAAAGAATCAACAACTGGAACATCATCTTATTAAAAAGCCTTTGCACAGCAAGAGAAACCAAAAGAGTGAACAGACAATCCCCAGTGTGGGGAAAAAGAAAAACCCAGAACCCAAATTTAAAGACCCAGAGCAAAAATGGGTTTCTGAAATGAATAGATATTTCTCAGATGAAGAAGTAGAAACAACAAATAAATATACAAAAAAATGTTAGGCCGGAGATTTAGCTCAGTGGTTCTGTCTCCTGCCTCGCAAGCGCAAGGTCCCAAGTTCAATCGCTGGTACAATAAAAAAAAAAATTCAACATCACTGGTCATTCGAGAACCGCAAATTAAAACAACACCGAGCGGGGCGGGAGGGTAGCTCAGTGGTGCCACACCTGCCTGGCAATTGCAAAGTCTTGAGTTTGATCCCTGTTACCAAAAAACAAACAAATAAATAATAATGCTGAGGTTCCATCTCACTCCAGAAAGAATAGCTGTTATCAAGAAATCAACCAATAACAAATGCTGGTGGGGCTGTAGGGAAAAGGAACCATTATCCACTGCTGGTGGGAGCATAGACTGATGCAAGCACTATAGAAATCAATGTGGAAATTCCTAAAAAACTAAAACTAGAGGTTCCATTTGAACTAGCTATTCCTGTTCTTGGTATCTTCCAAAGCATCCTACCATAGCAATATACACATGTTAACATCAGAATAGTTTGTAATAGCTAAATCTGGGAAACACCCCAAATGCCCATCAACTGCTGGATAAAGACTTTTTATATAATGGAGTACTACTCCGCCTTAAAGAAGGATGAGCTTCAGACATGTATAGCTAAATGTATGTACCGTGAGACCATACTCTTAAATGAAATAAATCGGACACACATGTTTAAATACCAAACTGTTTCTTTGGTATGAGAAACCAAAAATGAAAATAAGGATTAAAATGTATAATAGATATTGGGAAATGGGAAGAAAATGTTCAAATGGAAAGGGGAACAAGGAAGGGGAAAAGGAAAAAGGAAGGAAGGGCCAAAATAAAGAGTGAAAATTGAAGGAAAAAATGGAAACAAAGCTTTTGTACTTAGGGAGGGGAGGAGGCTTAAGGGGAAGAGGGGAATGGGAAAAAGAGGCAGGAGATATCACGTACAGGAACAAATTCCCTAAGATGAGTGTCACTATTATGTATTTCTAAAATGTATCAATAAATGTTTTACTATAAAAAGTTTTAATACATTTATTTACTCATTGATTGCCATTAAAAAAAAAAACTATACAAAACCCAGAAACACAGATATATACTTAACATGAAACATATATCCTTAGAATCAAGTCTACTAAAGACATCATAAACTCAAGAGGTAACTATGCACAGCAAATATCAAGTTTTGAGTATCTTTACTGATTTACCTATGATACATTAAAGGATACCAGAAATCTGCATTCATTGGCATTTAGTAGTACTGTTTGCTAGTTTAGTACATACAACTCACCATGAACATGTTTCCTATTTCATAAAAAATGACCCTACAAACAAATACAACTTTAAAATTACTATTTTTATTTCAAGAGTCTGTTGTGATTAGCACTGAAATTTTCCCTGTAACTCTATTTGTTTCTTAGCGGGACACCAAATATTCTATTACATTAAATACCTTAGATGCATGTTCTAAATACTGTTTTCCCACAGACATCTGAGTAAGCAGACGAAATTTGTTGTCCTGAAGTACATAGATCCCCTATTTAAAAAATACACAAAATACCCAAGTCAGTAGATCTTAAAAATTATCTTATTCCTATAAAACAACTTAAGACCTTTATAAAGTCATCAACATTCATTTCCTTGGTCTTTTTTATTCCTTCAAAACAGGGACTCACTCTGTAATTTAGACTGGCCTCAGCCCGCCAAGTACTAGGATTACAGGCACCACACCCAGCTCAGTTTTTCTTCAAGTGAAGGAATTTTGCAATGTTCAGGCTTAAGAGCTGTGAGTTCACTATTCCACAGCACTAATATTTCCTAAATATAACTCTACACTGAAGATACAAAGATGCGTAAGGCATGGTCCATAGCAAAGAACTCTGGGGTGGGCTGGTGGGGGGGGAGTGGCTCACTGTAGATAGAGCTCCTGTCTAGCATGTGTGAAGCCCTGGATTTGATCACCAGTACATTTTTAAAAAAATAATAAGGCCAGGCATTTTGGCACATGTTTGCAATCCCAGCACTCTGGAGGCTAAGGCAGAAAAATCACCAAGTTCAAGCCCAGCCTGGGCAACTTAGCTTAGTGAGACCCTATCTCAAAAAAATAGGGGCAGGGTTGGGAGGGGTAAGTAGGCATATAGCCCAGTGTGAATGCCCTGGGTTCAATCTGCAGTACCACAAAAATAAAAATTTTAAAAAAACCAAAAAACTCAGCCTTATACTAATACATATTCACGTGAAATTGTTATATATTATTAGAACAGGTATAAAAATAATTAGATTCTACTGGTAGTACTAGATACATTATGTTCATTTTTAAAACTTATTCAAAATACCAAATCTACTCAAAAGTAGTCCTGTTTAAATGCATAGTTTTCTAGGTAATCTAATTTTGTAGTGAGGGGGTGAAGAGAGGGTGGGGACAAGGGGAAAAAATGAGAACCAAGACCGGTCATGTAAAGGTACAAGATCCCAGTAACGAATGTAACTATACTGTATACCTAAAATGTACCGATAAATTCAATTTAAAAAATCTAATTTTGTAGTAACAAAGTCTTAAGGATAGAAAGAAATGACAGTAGTAATAAACAACACAAGAGTTATTTAAGCCAGGCATGGTGGCACACCCCTGGAATCCTAACACTCTGGAACTGAGGCAAAACAAGTGCAAATCTGAGCCTCACTTGGGCCATTTATCAATTCAGCAAAATTGTGTTTCAAAATGAAAAAATAAAAAAGGGCTGGGAATGTAGCTCAGTGCCAAGGCCCTTGCTTTGGTTCAATCTTAAGTACTGCAAAAAAAAATAAATAAATAAAAAAATAATAATAATAAAATAAAAGATTTAAGAGTTAAATGTGGTTTTGAATTAGACTTCCGCAATGAGGCCTGGTGGTGCATGCCTGTAATCCCAGCACTCAGGAAGCTGAGGCAGGAGGATAACCATGAGTTCAAGGCCAACCTGAGCTACATAGTGTGATACCTTGTTTCAAAAAAACAAACAAAAGGTCCGGGGATTTAGCTCAGTGGTGCTGTCACCTGCCTTGCAAGCACAAGCACAAGATCCAGAGTTCCATATCCATACCGGAAAAAAAAAAAAAGAAAAAGAAAAACTGACTCTAGAAGCTACTCTGAAAGGATAAAAATGTGATATATCTCTGGTTCTGTATATTACCACTTAATAATAAGGAACTAAATACTAAAATCAATAGTTCTGACATTTGCTACATTTAAAATTTTTATACAATTTGTGTAACTGAAGGAAATAGTGATAGTTACTGATAATTGTCAATTTGCCTTTATTCACTTTATCCTACTAAAGAAAAACTAATGACATTAATAATGTAAGAGAAACATTCCAAGGTTGATCAGAAATTATTTTAAATTTTAAATAAATTACTAAACTAGAACATTTATATTAAGATAAAGGACTTTTAAAAATAGGCCTTAATTTAATTAAATACCTGATGATTTGTCCTTAGATTGTCGATTTGTTTCTTGAACACTGTAGTCCAAAAATCTTTACAAATGAACTTCATGATGTCTAACTCATCCTTGAACCTTGCAGTATCTTTTGTAAACCTAAAAAGATCAACTAGAAGTAATACAGTATTTTTTTTCAAAGAAAGTGAGAGAGATAAGTATTTTCTCTCATTCTCCCCAAGAGGGACAACCTATTAAATAACTTTCCATTGCCTCAACAGCATTGGACATTTGTTTAGTCATAAAATGATAAGCAACAAGCAAAGCAGATGCTATATGAATGGATTAACACTGTTTCGCTTATACAATTATTGGACCTATGAGTTTATTTTTATTAGTCTAACGATTTAGTCAAAATTCAGGTACACTCAAATGTAGCACTTAAAAAAGAGCTAAGTATGATAATAGTATTGTTATATAAAATACATTCAGAATTTAACTATTCAGATATTGATACAAAAAAAAAAACCAACTAAAAATCCCTGATCCATAGCTGGACACAGTAATTGCAGCTATTCAGTTGTATGAGGCAGGAAGACTGCAAACTCATGGCCATCATCGGCAATTTATGAGACCCTGACTCAGACTAAAAGGATTAGGGACATAGGTCAATAGTAGTAGGAAAAAAATATATTTTTTTGGTACCAGGAATCAAATTCAGGACCTTGCACTTATGAGGCAGGCAGCAGCACCACTGAGCCAAAGTCCCAAATCCCCATAGGTCAGTAGTAGAAAGTCTGCCTAGCATGTGCAAGGCTTTGGGTTCAATCTCCAGTACCACAAAAAATAAAAATAAAAATCAAGTGGGGTGGCATGTGCCTGTAATCCCAGCACTCTAGGAGGCTAAGGCAGTGGCTGGACAATTTAGTGACTTAGTGAGGCCCCCTCTCAAAATAAAAAGTCAGGTGTGGCACTCCCCTGTAATTACTTGGGAGGCTGAAGCAGAATCAGCAGAAGTTCAAAGCTAGCCTACCCCAGAAAAAAAAAAAAAAAAAAACCCACAAAGGCTCGGGATTTACCTCAGTGGTTCCAATGCCCGCCTCAAAAGTGCAAGGACCCAAGTTCGATCCCTGGTACCAAAAAAAAAAAAAAACACCCACAAAGCTCACCTAAAATGCACAGCAAGACTCTGTCTCAAAAAACAATTAAAAAAAAAGAGCTGGAGATGTAGCTCAGTCCATAGTAACACACACACAAAATTAAAAATAAAAAAGAACTGATGTACAAACTGGAAGATTACATGTATAAACATAGACTTTAAGGCATTTTTATCCCTTAATTTTTGTTTTATTTTGTTTTTTGAGACAAGGTCTCCCTAAGCAGGTTAGGCTGGCCTCAAACACACTGATCTTCAGCCTCTTGAGGGCTGGGATTACAGGCGTGTGCCATGTGCCATAATGCCCAGCTTCCCTTAACTTTTTTAGAGAAGATTCCACTCAGGTTAAAGAAACTACTAGACCACTGGTGGTGAACCTATGGCACACATGCCACAGAAGGCCATTTGTATCACTGAAAGTTCTAAAAGGTTCACACCATCACCATACTAGACCTTAAGTAGAAAATGTAAACCAGACATAGTGGTACATGCCTGTAAACCCAGTACTCAGGAGGCTGAGGCAGGAGGACTGCCATGAGTTTGAGGCCAGCCTGAGCTACACAGCCAGTTCAAGGCCAGCCCAAATTACAGAGTGAGACCCTGTCTCCAAAAAAAAAGTAGAAAATGTAATGAGATGTTTTTTTGTTTTTGTTTTTTTTTGGAGACAGGGTCTCACACTATGTAGTTGAGACTGACCTGGAACTCAAGACGTAGCCAGGTTGGTCTCTAACTCACAGTGATCCTCCTGCCTCAGCCTCCCAAGTACTGGGATTACGGGCATGTGCCACCATGCCCGATCTGTAATGACATCTTATATAGTTGTTTTAATAGACCAATATTTTCAGGAGGAAAAAAACCCTTAAGTGTATAAAATATTTTCTCCAAGTGATAAAACATAAAATGTGGATACTGAGTTAAAGTAACATAAGACCTAAAACGAAATTTTTCTCTTTTTGGTGCTGAGAACAGAACCCAGGGCCTTATGTGTGCTTCTCAAGCACTGCATCACTGAGCTATACCCCAAACCCCACAAAAAGAAATTTCAATCTGTAATTAAAGAACAGAGAATTAAAGTTTGGAAATTAAAATAAAAACGTCAAGTTTTATGCAACCTTTTGAAACAAATCATCTTTATTCATTACCTACCTGGAAGAAAATTTTCAAATCCATACTGCTCACCTTTCTATCAATCCTTGTCCCACTCGAAACCCCATGTTTTCCAGCTTAGTAATACATCGCCCGTTTTCCTAAAGAAAAAACAAGTTTTGAATACTTCTAGAATTCCAGAATGTTAGTATTTGAAAATTACTATAAAATTTTGGCTAAAATCATGACAATATACAGTTGATGGAAATTCTGAGAAAAGCAAGAGTTTTCAACTTTAATAAATACAATCAGATAAGCGTGGTGGTGCACACCTGTATCCAACCTGGGCTACATAGTGAGTTCAAGACCAGCCTGAACTATATGGCAAGACCCTGTTTCAAAAACCAAAAATAAACTCAAAATATATGAAAACTCCCACTAGAGTGAATACTATAAAAATGCAGGGCTGGGGATTTAGCTCAGCAGTTCAGTGGCCTGCCTTGCAAGCACAAGGACCCGAGTTCAATCCCCGGTACCAAAAAAAAAAAAAAAAAAAA